CCCGCCGTCCCCCCGCTCCGGCCCGCTCCTCTGCGCAGACCTGCGGCCGCGGGATCACTCCTCGAAACCCCTTCAGTTAAACAAAACTCGTCTTATTTTAAGATTATTTTTAAGTTTGTTTCTTCTGCAGGGTGGAGAGGGTTCTTTGATGGCCTTCGGTTCCCTTTTCCGTTTCATGTATTTGTTGCATATTTCTTCCCTCCCCCAAAGCTTTTGAGTATTACCCACAGTGGAGCAAATAGAGACAAACTTTCGAGCGGTCCCTCCTGGTGCCTTCAGGAGAACACCCTTCCTGACCTCGGGCAGCAGGATTTGTGCAAGCTAGGGAAAACATCCTCTTCATGAAATGCGTGTCCTTACGGTGCTCTGTGCTGGTTCCTGCTCTGGTTCCTCTCCCCGATACGAGCGAGGGCGGCCGTCCGCAGCCTCAGGTCTGCCAGATTTCTTCTTGCTTCAGCCTCTCTTAATAATGTCAAATAAGGTATATTAAAACCTACTGTAATTTCTCTGAGAATTTTGTTTGCACACACAGAGGCCAATATTCAACCTCTTCTCATTTCAATATCTGTACCAGATTAATTAGCTCTCAGCATCTCCAGTCAACACAGCAGCGAGACGCAGGAGCCGGGGACATGAACTCCAGCGTTCAGATCAGTCTAACGTCTCAACAGTAAGTTCTTGCCTTTATATACATATGTATACACACATATTTTAACAGATCTACATTGAGTCACCCAAAAATGGGCAGCGGGGAAGGAATGAGGGCCCTCCCGGTGGTGCTTCGCCCTCGGGTCGCCGCAGCCCCAGCGCAGCGCCCGGGACGGAGCCGGAGCGGGTTCGGGGTCCGCGGTGCCGGGCGGGTTTCACGGGCACCGGGCCACCTTCTCCCCCTTCGCAAGCCCGAAACGCCGGCAGCTTTTTACGGTTCAAGGTGCCGCTGCTGGGCGCTTTGCGTGCTTCAGCGGAGCTGTAAGTAGTTAATAAAGGGGCTGGGAAAAGATCCTGTTTACTGATTGTTCCTGATTGTTGTTTTCTTGATAACAGAGCAAGCCACTGAATGACTGTTTGAGCTCAGGCGCCACAAACATAAACTTAACAGCTCCCAGTGTGCCGGCCCTGCTGGAGGATCACTCCTCACCTCCTGGGACTTGTGAAGTGCAGGAGGAGAAGGCAGCTCCCAAGGAGGCAGGCTCCGGTGGGGGGGCGGGGGAGGCTCGCCTGTATGACCGAGCTTTCCATATTGCACGGTATCTGCCTTCATTAGCCAGGATAAAGAAGTGTAAAATTAAGCGGTGCCTTTCCCCAGCGCCCTGGCCGTGCCGGAGGTCGGGGCACGCTCTGTGCGCCGCTCCCCGCAGCATCCCAGACCAAAGATGCGGTTTTTACATCGGGCTGCCATTTCGTTTGAGCTTCGTTGAATTTTCTTGTCGCGGCTTAGGGCCACCACACAAGTGCTCTGGGCTCGTTAGGGCAGGGGAGGGAGGGCGACGGAGGCCGGGAGAGCGGGCAGCCTCTCAACTCCCGCTCCGCGCTCTCCGCCCGGCC